TTACTTTTAGAAAAAGAAAAAGAAATTTGGTGACAATCTTTTGGGAAGTGATATGATTTAGTGATTAAGAGCAAACGAAATACCTGTAATGCACTAAAGCTGAATTGTCTAAACTCTGTGTTCAATGTGTTGGTAGGCATAAAGGACTAAGGCTAATGGACTAGACAATGTGGATTCATTTGGACTTAGAAACCTCATTTGGACTGACAATACGACGCTTGGATAGATTTAACAGTAAAATAGACAAGTAGACTTATGGCATAAATTGAAGCTAAATATCATCTAGATCTGTGGCTCAACACTTCATTGGCGTATGGACTTGTGTCCTTAATTCTTGTATTGATAGGGGGTGACTAAGGGGTTCTGATAAATTGGGTCTGTTTAAAATCGTTATTCTTTCTTTCTTAGTCAGCCACATGTTGTCCCCTCTGCATGATCGGAAGATCTGACCTGGGACACAACATGCGCATACGGATATGTGTTCTTTCTCTCTCTTAGTTAGCCATATGTTGTCTCATCTGCGTGATCGGAAGATTTGACATTGGACACAACATATGCACTCAGATGATGTTCACTGCTTTCAAGTTAGTATATTGTCTCCTACATATATCCTACTCTCTATGTTAGTCATATGTTATCCCCCTTTTGCGTGATCGGTAGATCCGACATGGGACACAACATATGCATTCCACAATGATTATTTACTCACCTAAAGTAAAGGATTCCGAAGAAATCTCCTTGATTACCGAGGGATGCCATGAAGTGGGGAACATGTTCCAGTGTATTAACATAAACTGCACCCACAACTAAAGGCTAACTGGTAGATTTTACTAGCTAAATTTAAGTGGACAACAATATTCATGGTCGTCGTCAGACAAAATGGTCCATCTAGGAATATAATAGCTATATATTGTCATTCATGATTTTTCCTGAAAAAGTCATTTGTGCTTAAGTGGATCACAATATCAATGATTGACCAGAGCTTTTCATGAACGTGTGTGCTGATAAACCTCATTGATTTGTTTCATCACGTTTGATCCCAAAAGTTTATTTTTTTAATCTTTTCATTTAAATGTGTACATATTTTCTCTGTTATGCACAAATTTAGGGGGAGAAATTATTAAAAATACTTAATAAAAATAAAATTAAAAATTAAAAATTAAAAGTTAAAAAAATATTTAAAAAATTTAGTTAATTAATGTTTAATTTTATTTCATTTTAGTATTCGGTTTTTGAAATGTAATATCGAAAGAATTTTTTTTATGAAAAACGGGTATTTTCTTCATGAGCCGAAATCGATTAAGTGGGTCGTCTGAGACTTTTCGGTGATATATATACTTCATTCTCGACTGATTAGGGTTTTTCACCGAAAAGCCCCAAACAACTATCATCATCATCATCGTCGTCATTTTTTCTCTAACTTCTTCGAGTTTTTCTGCAAAAACCTACTCAATCGTTATTTTTGTTGAAAATTGTTCGGTGAATCAGGTATTATTTTGGTTTTCGATCATAGCAATGGTTTTTTAACTGTTTTTGGTGTACTCGATTCCATAGATTTGTAGGTTTCGAATGTTTTTGAAGAGTTTTTCCGACGAACTGCGATTGGAACAGGTTTTGTTGAGATTTCAGGTTTTCGGTCCAAACCGGATTCGACCGAAATCAATGAAGATCCGGGTTTTTCGGCTGAAATCAACAATGTTGACCGAAATCGTCTGGTCAACACCGAAATCAAATGTTTTGACCGAAATCGATTAAAATCTTGACTTTGACCGAAATCGATTAAATCTTGACTTTAACCGAAATCAGATTTCAAACTAAATTTAATTAGTTTTAAATTAATTCTTGCTTGGCTAGTTTGGTGCAGATAAATGGCAGAGCAACTAAAATTCGAAGACTCTCACAACATCGTTGGATATCTCATGGATCCACCTGCTGCTTATCAAGAATTCAAATCCATGATGGTGGGTTTGAACAATTGCAGGATTTCTCAAGCTCTTCGCGCAAATCCAGTCATCCACGAAGATCTAATCACTGAGTTCTGGAAAAATGCTTCGATCAACAAGCAGGGAGCAGATGGAGCTGGTACTATTGAATCGATGGTGAAAGGAACACAAGTAATTATTTCTGAACAAGTTTTCCGAGAGGTACTTAAATTTGGTAATGCAACTGCATTCCCAATTGAGTACTCTGTTGATCAAGTCAAGGAAGTTCTTGAGAAGATGTGTTATGAAGGAACCTATCCTCCCACCATCAAGAAGTTATTTCCATCTTATTGGAGGTTTCTGGCACATTCTTTTATGATTTGCATTTCTGGAAGGAAGGGGGGCTCTGATAAAATTAGTCAGACTGTGACCTCAGCCATTGTCGCTCTGGCTACAGAATGGGATTACAACTTCTCAAAGTTTGTTTTTGAAGAGATGAAGAGCAACCTTCAGGGAAAAAAGAAGGACCTATTTTTAATGTACCCCAGGTTCCTTCAAATGATCCTTAATGAAAAATATCTCCAAATTGAGAGGTCTTCTGATAGTTTGGATATGAAAGCCTTGGGTCCTAACACCTTTGGACTCATGAAGCAATCAAGAAAGGGTGCAAAAGTTGCTTATCAGGGACTAAAGGAGCTGGTTAAATTTGGAAAGTTTGCTGAAGTTAAAGACACTCTTGTTGTTAGTTCCATTAATGTTGAGGTTGCCGAGGAACATGTGGCGCCCAAACCTAAAATTTCAATTTTCGTAACACCCCTAATCCAGCAGACCAAGAAAGGAAAGGAAAACCCTAAGTCAAGGAGTCAACTCGTCGAGTCCAAGGAAGAACTTGGCGAGTAGGAGCGAGTTCCGAGTCGTGGATTAAGTGGCCGACTTGGCGAGTCGGGGGACTGACTCGGCGAGTCTGGTCTGGGTTGGGAAAACCTAATTTCGGGACTTGGTGGCCTATTTAAGCCTCATATTCTCATCCCCTCAGCCTTATCTTCAGCCCCCAGACCCTAAACCCTCACCCACGAAACCCTAGTGCCTTTCTTGTGATTGTGAGCCATTTTTTGGAGTGTGTGTGGTCTATTGGAGCTTGAAGAAGGAGAGAAAAGCTTGGAGGAATCAAGAAGGGGATTGTAGATCCAGAAGTAGCTTCTCAATCTCATCACTTTCTGGTAATCAAGTCTTGACCTTGCTCATCAACCTCTTAGAATCTCCTCATGTCCCTTTTGTTTGAGTTTTGGTTCAAAAACTAGATCTATGGGGACAAGGATGTCCCAAGCTTAGATCCATTCAGATCTGGAGCCCCTAGGTGCGGCTAAGGCATAAAGGTGCAAGCTTCATGCCATTAGGATGTCCCATACAAACTTAAAGAGATTATCATGGCCTTTTGGAGCCCTGAAGGCCATGCCGGAAGTAAAGTCCAGGACTTACGTGGTTATTGGATGTCTCGAGCCTAGATCTGGATTCCCCTGTTTTGGTTTGGAGTAATAAGGGTTTTGGATCATGGAGTTATGTCTTAATGAGCTAGGGTTTTGTCTAAACCCATTAAGAAGAACTCAGGATGGGTAAAGCTAGAAACTTTACCCTTAATAAGTCATTTCCAGAGTGTTTATGGAGATTGGAGTTCAGATCTGGAGTATAAGGGCTTAATCCTTTAAGATTGTCCAACAGACCGAGGAACTCGACGAGTCCAAGGAGGGACTCGACGAGTTTGAGCGAGTTGTCCTGTTTTCCGGTTATGGGTGAACTCGGCGAGTCAGGGGAATGAATCAGTGGGTTGACTCGATTTGTCACGAGTCTGGTTAGCCAGGGAACTCGGCGAGTCAGGGGCTGACTCGACGAGTTGGTTCGCGATTGCAGGATTCTGAGCTTTTGTACTCGGCAAGTTGATGGAGCTACTCGGCGAGTCAGGTCAACCTGGAAGTGTTGACTTTGACCATGGACCGTTGACTTTGACTTTAACCAGAGTTGACTTAGTTTGACTCCTGGAGGGCATTTTGGGACTAAGTGTTATGTTGGTATTGGTAGCTCGGGGAGCTAGGAGAGCAGCAGTCCGGGGAATTGTCGAATAGCAGCCAGAGGCTTCAGCCAGTCTTCAGTTGTGCGAGGTGAGTCCTCTTCCAGTAGGAACGGGTCTAAGGCCACAATACTGGCCCGTTTAAGTAGTCGTAGTATGCCGGGGTAAGCCCGATGCAGTTTATATGTTTCCGGACTTCGGTCCGATGCCGGGGCGGTCCCGAGAAGTAATTAAGTATGCGTGATGTCTTTGTGATTCATGCAGGTTATATGATATGTGCTATGTGTTCCGGACTTCGGTCTGATGCCGGGGAAAGCCCGATGTATGTTAGTTATTATGTCATGCGTTATGTGTTCCAGGGCAAGCCCGATGTATGCTAGTTTATATGTTATATGTTATATGTTTCGGGCTTCGGTCCGATGCCGGGGCAAGCCCGATGCAGATTATGTGATTATGTTATGTGATATATGTTGTGTTGCGTATGTGTCGGGGTAAGCCCGATGCCGGGGTGAGCCCGATGCCCGATGCGGTCGGATGCCAGGGTGAGCCCGATGCCGGGCAGGAGTCCGATGTCGGGTAAGCCGATGTCGGGATTCGTCCCGATGCAGTTGGGAGTAGTCCCAGAGTTATATTTGTGTTATGTGTTATGTTATATGCATGGTGGATATGTTTATATGTATACCGGATTACGGTCCGATGCCGGGCAGGGCCTGATGCAGTGGGCTAGGCCCAAGTTATGTGATTATGTGTATGGTATGTGGTAGTTTGGGGAAAGTCACTAAGTTTCGTGCTTACAGTTTTCAGTTTTGGTTTCAGGTACTCAGTTTTCAAAGAGGAGCTCGGAAGATTGCAGTGCACACACCATTTGTTCATCCTGGGATGTTTATACTCTGATATATTTGACAGATGTTATGTTATTCTTGAGATACACCGTTTATGATATTTATATGTCGAAAGATAATTATGGTTTTATTAATGGGTTAAAAACGAAAATTTTGGCTTGTATTTTTGGGATGTTACAATTTTCCTTTGAAGAAATTGAAGTGTCTGATGATGAAGAAGATCAAGAGGATGAAGGAAATGAGTTGTCAGAAAATGAGTTTGAAAATTTTATTCAGCAAAGTATTTCATTCTTAGAAGAGGATGTAGTTGTTACACCTCCAAGTGCGACTGAAAGAGAAAAGGACAAAATGGTGCAATTTTCCTCACCTACCCCTGAACAGATGGATGCTCTTATTGATTAACTACAGAGAACTGCAAGGAAGCCTCCCCAAATAGTTCCTATCGATACTGAACCTCCATCTGGAAGTGATCTAGAAGACTCCCCCCACGCCTTACTCCCAAGGAAGTGTAAAAGAAGATATCCAAGGCCGGGAGTGCTTATCACAGACCAAGTTCAAGAGAAATCTACACCGATCGAGCCTAAGTCTATGGCTCAAGAAATTCAAAGCCCAATCCCTGAGTCCATTCCTATGGATTAGGATGTTCAAAGCCCAATTGTTGAAGAGGAATTCATACTTACTGAAGGAGCTCAAGCTTCAGGAAGCTCCTTTGAATTACCCGAGCTAGACATCTCAAAAGGAAAAAGCAAGTTGCCTGAGTCTAAATTTGTGGATGTCGCTCTGCTTCAGAACAGAGTTTTTGTTTTGGAACAAAGTTCTGCTGAAAAAGATTTAATAATTGGAAAGCATGACATTAGAATCAGTGAGCTTGAAAAGGAAAACTCCATTAAAGATGCAAAGATTTCAGAACTTCAAGCAAATCTTGGTGGTCTAACTACTCTATTCTTTGACCTGCAACAACGCTTACATCAAAATTTTGGTGATGAATTTCAACCTTTAAGCGCTGAAAGAGAAAAGATCACTGCTTCTAGTTCTGGTCCAGCCAATCCAACTCCTCAATCTACAAGTGAAAAGCTGCAAGACCTGCTCTGGATGCCAATCTTGATACATTCTTATCCTCTAGTCCTGCTTCTGCTCAAGAAAGGAGAGGGAAGAAAATTAGAGCTGAGCAGCTAAAAGAGAAAATGCTTGTAATGAAAAACTCTGATCAAAATGTTCCAGGTGATCAACCAGAGATGTTTTTTAGGGAAACATGGAAGAAATTCACAGATAAATACGGAGATCGTTCTGGCATCACCACGTGGGGATATGATGCTGATAAAAAGATGTGGGTGGTCATGCGAAAAAGTGGAAGAATTGAATTGTAATAGCCCAAAAATACAACCCAAAACTTTTTGTTTTATCATTATTAAAACCCACAACATCGAATGTTATATAATAAAACCATGCATCGTATGTCTCAAAATGCCATAATAAATGTATCAAATCAAAACTGAAGTTAATATCATATCGAAACATCTGAAATAAAACTCCCATGATAAAACTGTAACTGTGGTGTGTGCCATGCCATCAACCCGAGCTCTTCCCCTTGCTAGCGGAAGTACCTGAAACCAAAACTGAAAACTGTAAGCACGAATCTTAGTGAGCTCCCCCAAACTACCACATACCGTACAATAACATATAAAGCAACTATTGGGCCTTGCCCACTGCATCGGACCGAAGTCCGGAAACTGCATCGGATCGAAGTCCGGAACTAACCAGGGCCTTGCCTTCTGCATCGGACCGTAGTCCGGAAACTGCATCGGACCGAAGTCCGGAACTAACCAGGGCCTTGCCCTCTGCATCAGACCGAAGTCTGGAAACTGCATCGGACCGAAGTCCGGAACTAACCAGGGCCTTGCCCTCTGCATCGGACCGAAGTCCTGAAACTGCATCAGACCGAAGTCCGGAACTAACCAGGGCCTTACCCTCTGCATCGGACCGAAGTCCAGAACTGACTGAATTATAGCATATCATAATCTTAACTATTAGCATAAACATATATACTGCCTACTGCATCGGACCGAAGTCCGGAACACATAACACAAAGACATGCTTGAATCACAAAGACATCAAGCACACTGATCTATTGCATCGGACCGAAGTCCGAAACTACCGCTAACTAAACGGGGCCGGCATTGTGACCGTAGACCCGTTCCTACTGGAAGGAAATTCACCTCGTAACGCTGGCTGCTGAGATGCTAAATCTGAAACTGTCTGACTGCTGCTCCGGAACTCCCCGGCTACAAATTCCATAAACACTAAATCAAATACTGATAACTAATCTCAGGGTAAAATGACCATTGTACCCCTGCTATGGTGTGGGTTACAATCATGGCCCCAAAGGCCCAAAGACTCTAAGTCCAAGCACAGCCCACACCGAGGCCCAATTGCTCAAAGCCCAATCTGGCAGCGTACGCGAGGCATACCTCTAGGGACGCTGAGCGTACCGGCTGCTGGCTTGTACGCCGTGCGTACGTCCTTGTACGCCCAGCGTACAGCCCTGATAAGCCAACTTCCTATTAAGTGCTTAATCCATCGATTTAGAAGCTACAAATTCAGATCCACGTCTTTATTTATGTCCCAAGCCATAAAGTTGCTTACTTGATGGCGTGGATGGCTCAAAGAGCTCAAACTTCAAAAAGCAATATCCTAACTCCCATAGAATGGCAAAGATCTCATGCATGGCCTCATGCAAACCTCAAAGATCGAAACTTTATTGCTAAGAAGGTGTTTTGAGCCTAAAGGATGGCAATCCCAAGCTCAAAAACGAATTTTCATTATCAAGGTCCAACCTTTGGACCTAAAGATGTCCAAAACTTCAATAACTCTAGATCTAGCATATGAGGAAGAAAGTTTAGTGCTTTATACCTTCTTTTGGTGACAAAGAGTGAGTCTAGTCCAGATCTCTGATTCAAGCTTCTTTCCAACCTTGCTTTCCTTCTTCACAACTTCTCCTCACTAAAAACTCTCACAAGAGCCAAAATCACACAAAAGAGAGAGGAAGACATGCTAGGGTTTTCTTGGGGGTGAGGAGACTGGTAATAATCCAGAGGGAGGCTATAATGGGGTTTATATAGGTCTTAAACCCTTAAATTAGGGTTTTCTTATCTGCTCACTTACGCTGCGCGTACCTAGTAGTACGCTGCGCGTAAGTGTGCGCGTCCCCGATTCCAACCGCGGTCTGCTACGCCCCACGTACGTCTTATGGGCGGCCCAAGACTTGGCCCAAGTGCATAAATCCAACTCCAATACTCCTTTTTCTCTACTAGCCCAACTATAATTTAAGAAAAATTAAATAATTAATACCTCGAGAGACGGACGTTACAATTCACCCCCACTTGAATCAGACTTCGTCCTCGAAGTCTGCTGCTACTGAATCTGAAAACAATTCTGGATAATGCTCCCGCATCTCCTCCTCGGACTCCCACGTCCACTCTGAACCCTTCCGGTGCTGCCACTGCACCTTTACTAGCTGAAATACCTTGTTCCTCAAGGCCTTCGTCTTCCGATCCAAGATCGCAATGGGTCTCTCGATGTAATTCAGGCTGCTATCAACCTGAATATCCTCTAATGGTACAACTGCTGACTCGTCCACCAAACACTTTCACAACTGAGATACATGAAAAGTGTTGTGGATCTGGCTGAGTTCTGCTGGAAGATCCAAACAGTAACCAACCCGGCCCACCCGGGCCAAAACCCTAAACGGACCAATGAATCTGGGGCCCAGCTTACCCCGCTTCTGGAATCTGATGACACCCTTCCAGGGTGATACCTTCAGGAGGACCATATCGCCCACCCGAAACTCCAAGTCCGAACGCCTCCTGTCGGCGTAACTCTTCTGCCGACTTTGCGCAGTCTGCAGTCTGCTACGGACCTGCTGGATCAACTCTGTGGTCTTGAGTACCACCTCCGTACTCCTGATGACTCTCTGACCGACCTCGCCCCAACAAATCGGGGTCCTACACTTCCTCCCATAAAGCATCTTGAAAGGAGGGCGGTCAATGCTGGCGTGGTAACTGTTGTTATACGAAAATTCCGCTAACAGATGATACGTATCCCAACTGCTACCAAAATCTAGAACACATGCCCGAAGCATGTCCTCGAGAGTCTGAATTGTCCTCTCGCTCTGCCCATCCGTCTGAGGGTGGAAAGTGGTGCTGAAGTGAAGACGAGTCCCCATCTCGTCATGAAACCGCTTCCAAAACCTAGAAGTGAACCGGACGTTTTGATCTGATACTACTGATACAGGCACTCCATGCCGTGCCACTACCTCGCGCACATAAATATCAGCTAGCTTCTCGGCCGATATGCTCTCCTGAATCGGTATGAAATGCGCGCTCTTGGTCAGCTGATCCACTATGACCCAAATCGAATCAACTCCACGTGCGGTACTGGGAAGCTTAGTGATGAAATCCATAGTGATATCCTCCTATTTCCACACGGGAATGTCTAATGGCTGCATCTT